ATATATATATATACATACATACATACATACACATATATACATACATACATATATATATATATATATATATATATACATCCTCCACACACATACGCTGTCGCTGTCGCCCTCTCCTTGTTGTGCTTCCAATTCCAGTATGCGTTGTGTGGTGATGAGCAGATAATGACCATTCTTAAGCTTTGAATGGGCATAGTAGTGCTCCTGTATAAATATCAATGTCAAGTATACGAATTATTGTTATATATACTGTGTATACTATATATGGTATATATATATATCGCACTCTATTTGTCGTGCCACCGATTCCAGTATGCGTTGTGTGGTGATGAGTGGAAAATTTCGAGCGGAAAATGGCCAGTCTAAAGCTTTGGATGTGCATAGTGCTCCTATATAAATGCCAACGTCCGAGTAAGAATTATATATATATATATATAAAACAACAAAAAAGACACAAACAACCACAAATATATACACACACACAAACATATATATATATATATAAAACAACAAAAAATGCACACACAAACAAAACAAAAACACACTCAAACACAAACAAAACACAAACAACCACAAATATATACACACACACAAACACGCAGCATCATAAACACATACATACATATGCATATATACATACACACAAACTCACAGCATCATAAACACATATATACATATGCATATATACATACACAAACACACAGCACCATAAACACATACATACATATGCATATATACACACACAAACACACAGCATCATAAACACATACATACATATGCATATATACACACACACAAACTCACAGCATCATGAACACACACATACATATGCATATATACACACACAAACACACAGCATCATAAACACATACATACATATGCATATATACACACACAAATTCACAGCATCACATCATAAACACATACATACATATGCATATATACACTTCCGCACCATCTCACTCATATACACAGTACCGTAATGCCCTCGTCTATCTGGTCTGTGTCTCGAGGAGTGAGTGCCTGGTAGCTGTAGAACAGTCGCTGGCCTTTTGCACTGTGTTCGCTGTATGGTACGATGATACCGCCTGGAGGTATATGCCGTTGCAGCCGCATGACGGTAGCACTGCACTTCTGTGAGATACATAGGCGTGTGGTAACACATGAGGCAGTGTTTATTCAAGTATGCGTATTAAGTGGTGTGTACAGGGGGTTGAATCGGTGTGATGCGGGTGTATATATATACACAACAACCTCCTGTAACTCAGGGATTATTATTTCGAGGTGTATGCTTATAATGACCCTAAACCCTAAACCTAAAACCCAAAGACCCTATATTCTGATGGGATTTCACTTTTTTTTCAATCCACTTGCACTAGTTACTGTACATGTGCAATGCATAGACCACAATTGAGCTGTAGTGGTATGGTCCCACAGAAACGGAAAAGACCTTCAGACCTTCAGTCATACGATGGGTATGATGTGATACAGCTACAACAGCCTGGCAGTGGAATATATAGCTGGAGGTGATCTGTGGGGGATAGGACTGGATAAGATGTTGGGACGGGATACCTATGTCGTTTAATCAATAATCAAAACATATTTATCACAGAAGGCCTATACAACGGCATACATATATGTATTCTATTCAGAGGTGCAACCGTGATGCCTTGGAATGCGCGCAGAGCGTTGAGTTTAAAGGATGGTCTATTTTTGGAACGATATAAATATAGAACATACAGGTCCACGGGTGCTGTCTCGGAGTGCGGACATGGTATCGAGCCCAAAGTCCATCACACCACTGGCGGGTTTGGTGAATGCACCGACCACCCCTTTGCCCAGGCCTTTCATAAATCCCTGCCGTAGGTAGGTAAAATCGAATTTGCGACAATTGATTAATTTGTGACTTCATATGTGTGCGCGTACACACATCGCATCACTGGCGGGTTTAGTAAACGCGCCAAGAACCCCTTTGCCCAGAATTTTCACATAACCCAGCGGAAGGTTGATAAACCAGAATTTGAGACGTTGGACTAATTTGCGACATCAAATATGGCATGCGCTCAACCTCAACAGACGGTCTGATATTCAACAGTGACGCAATCAGTGATCAATTTGGATGAAACTCAAAAACCCTAAACCCTAAATTCCAAAATCCACAATCTACAGTAGAAAGACAGCGATACAGACAAATATACGTGATATGGTGCGACGTCTGCCAGGCAAAAACCATAGATACCACCAGCATGGAGACTGTGTTTAACGAAGGACAACTAGAGGCCTTTCAGGGTTATCTAAGGTCCCAATGGCTTACTTGAGGTTAAGATGGGTTAATTAAGGGTTGACTTGTTTATTGGGCGATTGAGCCCTAATAAAAAGTATACAGTGACCCACAGTGACCCACAGTGACAGTGACAGTGACAGTGACAGTGACAGTGACAACACTCAAATGCAAAATGCGATGTTGGTAGACACGAAGTAAATGCACACACACACAACATATCTACACGAGCACACACACACAACATATCTACGCATGCCCACACACACAACATAACTACACAAGCACACACAACATAACTACACAAGCACACACAACATAACTACACAAGCACACACAACATAACTACACAAGCACACACAACATAACTACACAAGCACACACAACATAACTACACAAGCACACACAACATAACTACACAAGCACACACAACATAACTACACAAGCACACACAACATAACTACACAAGCACACACAACTTACAGAGGCGCCGTCGTCCTTGGCTCCGCGCACAGGCTGAGAGACTATGCCAGAGATGCCACCCAGAATGCCTGTGGTCATCCCCGTCAGTCCACTCTTCATGACTGACCCTGGGTTGGAGGCTAAGGCGAACGGCAAGGCGGGCGTTTAATATGCGACAGTGATGATGTCGTAAATAGAACTGACTTTCTGATGTGAGCAACAGGATTGGTGTTTAATATGCGACACTGATGTTGTCTTAAATTAAGAGAACTAAGTCTGGGCAGGAGGCTAATGCGAACAACAGAGGGAGTTGTTAATATGTGACATAGGTATTGCCATAAACAGCGAAAACTGACCCTGGGCTGGAGTCCATTGCCAAAAATAGGGCTAGTGATTAATATGCGACATTAATATTGTCGCAAATTACTGACTCTGGGTTGGAGGCTAATGCGGACAACAGGGCTGGTGTTTAATATGCGACATTGATATTGCCAGAAATTAGAAAAATATGCATGCTCAATACTCGGATGAATTAGAAGGCTGTGAAGAATAGTATAGTGTATAATGGTTGGAAGACAATATGGTACCTGGCAGGTGCGATTTAATACGTTATATAGACAATCAGCTAGTACATACACAGCAAAATAATAT